CTTTATTTTTATGTGATTTTACATTGTTTAAACACAACCCGATCAACCCGACCAACCCGAACGGGTTGGGTTGGGTTGGGTTGGGTTGAACTTTTGTTTGGGTTGGGTTGGGTTGGGTTGAAAATTTTCAAACCGCCAACATTGGGTTGGGTTACTAAAACGGCTCCAAACCGATCAACCCGGGCCGTGAGCACCCCTAGAAGGAACCACGCGACGGCAATGATTCATTTCGTTTGATGCTTTTGTGGTCCCAAAATAGTTTCAAAAAAGGTCCCTGAAGATTTAAAAAATTACAAATTGAACCCTAAACTTAGTGCAGGGGAATTAAGGTTGACCCATTTTCAAAGGAGGAAAGACGTGCGACGGTTGGAAAAGAAGTGGTTGGGTGATCCATCAAACCCCATTAATGCAACTCCCCATGCCAACTTTTTGCCACCCTCACTAATTCTTTAAATAAAAATTAAATATCTGATATAATCGTAATTTATATTCGTTTATTTGTTATTATCTTGATGAAAAGAAATACAGATAATATGCATTCTTTCAATGGTGAGACGACAATAGTACTGGTTTAATTGTGATGAATACTGTCTGTGTGTTAGTGCAGTTCACGATTTTGTGGTTTGAGGAAGCATTGTTTTTTATTTATGAAGATACTGGTCAATCGTAACATATATCGTCCGCATTAGCCATACATGGACTCACGGTTTTAAAATATATTTGATAGACGATGTATTTATGGGTCGTTTACTAAACGTTTATCTGATTTCACTTTGAATAATTACCGAACAATTATATTTTATTTTGCATTATAATATAAAAGTTTTTTAATCATTTTATATCAAATCATTCAGTAACTGTGAAACGATCTTCAATACGACCATATCCATGTCGTTGGGAAAAAGTGGAATATATTGACTTGGTCAAATTATCAATTTAAAAGCTTTTGACTTTTGCACCACTACAATAAATGCTTATGAATAAATTTAATTAATTTTACAACAAAATGGAAAAATCATATATAGATTCTTTTGGACTCTTGTTATTAAATTAATTAATTATTTTTTATTCAAATAATTAATTTAATAGAAGCAGTAATTGTATTAATTTTAATTAATAAATTCAGAAGAAATTCAATAAATAATAGTTAAAGAAGAACGCTATGCGAAATTATGACTATTTTATAGCATCATTTAAATATTTACCAATAAATTATATAATAATATCAGATTATTTTCAATTAATATTTTATATTTTTTTTTTTAAAAATAAATTATCTAAAATAACCATTTTATACACGATACATTAATAAAAATGACTAATTTTTAGAGATTTTTCACAAAATGACTATCAAAATCGTCTCTTGAGAACGATTTTGACTGTAAGGTACGGATGTGTCTCACATGTATACCATTTGGGGAACAAAAATCAGATGTTATATATTTGACGAAACATCAAAGACGATTTTCATTGATATTTTATCTTTTTCGAACACAATTTACCATCACAACCCTTAACATAAATATGACATCACGTTAAAGTGATAATGGTTTCATTTATATTCAAAGTGGCAGGTTAAAAGTTGTAAAAGTAAAAGTGTTTGGATCACTACAAATTTATAAAGAAGAATGATACAAGATATATATATATATATATATTACATTTGGTTATAAAAAAGACAAAATACTAAGGAAAATCGCCTCCGATGTCTCGTCAAATCGTCATTGATGTGTCAAATCGTTACGTCATAAGTTGTCTTCATTAGAAGACAAAATAGATGTCAAAATCCCCCCATGGGGGCGATTTGCAATCGAAAATACAAAAAAGTGACCATATATCTGAATTATTTAGTCATTAATTTCTTTTACTATTATTTAAATACCAGTATTCATAATATAAAAAATACAATGTATGTCACCAACTATATAATACGACGAGGACGAAAGGGTACCGACAACTTTCTTTTTCTCGTAAAGTAGATTAAACGATGTTTTCCAGATTGGTTATATACACATTTTCCAAGTAATACTTATTATGAACGTAAAATACGTAGTACAATTAATATATGAAATGACGTGAAATACGTAATGTAAACTGTAAGGTTAAATGTCAAGTTTTAGGAGTCACAAACAAGGCCTTAACGTTTTTTAAAATGCAAGTAATGGCGGCAAATCTATGTCATATACATACTTTTTTATATACACATGTGTTTTTTTAGGAAGATGGGTGTTTGAGATTGTTTATAAAAATAACTTATTGACTTATTTCGATGTGACACCAGTAATAAGCATTTTTTAGTGTTTGGATAAACAACTTATACCGGTGCCAAACCGGTTAAGGAGTTTTTGAAGAAGTTAAGGGGGTGTTTGGTATTGCTTATTTGAAACAACTTATATTTTTATACAAAAGTGTTTATCAACTTATTATAAGTTAGAATGTTTAATTTTTCAAAAACTTCTTCTTACCGGTTTGACATAGATATAAGTTGTTTATCCAAATACTCAAAAGTGTTTGTTACCGGTACCACACCGAAATAAAGTCTAAGTTGTTTTTATAAGTAATCCCAAACACCGCTAAATAAAAGGAACATGACAATGATAAAATCACATATGATTTTACACTAACAGTCAACACAATGATGTACGCATGACGTGACTCACGACCTCAGGTCGTGGCCAAAGTCATGTGAATCACATGTGATTTTAGTGTAAAATCATATGTGATTCCACCCATTTCTTATTCTCTTATCTAAATTATTGTTATTGTATGAACTCAACTCTGTATTTTTATATATGTTAAATGAGTCCATGATATTAAACAGTTTAAACTGATCAATATCTTTTTAGAGATTTTGATTTATGATTGTATTTTAGAAAGCTTTTGAAAAATCTGTTGAAGATGCTTTACCGGTACTAGATAATATTTCATAATTTTTTAACAAAAAAATAATATATTTTTATTTTTTTTTAATTTTTATTTTGTGTCATCTCAATAATTATTTACGGAAAATTTATTTAAAAAAATAATTTTTAGATTTTGAGAGGGTTCCTGTGGTTACTTTGACGTCGTTAAATGCAGCGTTTTAAGTAAAAGAAATTCAAAAGCGGTTCTTAAGAACTTCCGTCACCGACGCCGTCTCCTCCACCACCACCACCACCACCACCATCCGCCATTGTTGAGTCAATTTCTTCTTGCTACGTAAAACGATAAACCTTAGCCATTCTCTCAACTGGTGCTAAAACTCAAAGAAAAATTATCAAACATGGGGATATGTTTCTCAAGAAAATCAACAAGAGCAACGAGAATTTACTCGAAAAGGATAGCGAACCAATCCAGTGCATCGATCAACAAAAGTTCAGTTAATCGATGGTCTCGCGTTCGATCTTCTTCTGTTAAGAAGGAGAAGTTTGATGATGCTCTTCTTCACGAGCAAGCCATCGCTGCTGCTCTTCTCTTCCAGCAACACCAGCAGAACGGCGATTACCTGCCTCATTTTGATCGATCAACTTCCATTCGGCATCCTCCTGGTGGCGCCAACTCCAAATGCCAGCAAGTTGTTTCTCGGAGTTCTAGTACTAGGCGTAGATCGGTTACCGATCCTATGCCTCCTCCTCACCTTATTCAGGTTTAATTTTCGGTTTCTGTTAGTTATATGTGAATCGGTGAATGATGAATTTAGAGTTCAGTTTATATATTTCGTGATAGTTCGATCATTACATTGAGAATCAGGGAAAACGAACTTTTAATAGCATGAAATGCCGGCCAAATAAAATACATGCAGATCGATTATAGCGACTATTAATCATATCCGACTGAATAAATTAGGTTGATCACAAAGTTGAAATTTGAAAACTGAACCAGGCTTGATCAGAAATAGAATCGACAATCAAGTAAATATTGTCTGAAGGGAGATTTGGTCACATTTGTAATCGGAGTGTAAAATTTGCAGCTCTTTTAATGTCTCCAGTACCAAATATGCACTCCAAATTATCATTAATGAATCTGAAATTGATATATACTGAATTACTGAAGCAAGTATACAAGGGGTTATCTGTTGGATTTGCTACTTTTCACCATAGTGTTGAAGAACAAGTTGCATACACTTCATTAGGTTACAGTGGTGTAGATCATTTGATAATGTGGATGATGATTGATGTGTTTGATCAATCCTAATTATCGATTGGTAAATGTTTGCTTCTTATATTTCTGCCATCGATCCTTAATTTTGATTGAATTGTTATGTTTAACAGGAGGTGAAGCATGATGAATTGGAGACCAGTCATATTGTTCTTGTTCATGGAGGTGGTTTTGGAGCCTGGTGTTGGTATAAAACAATTGCACTTTTACAAGAATGCAAATTCAAAGTTACTGCAATTGATTCAAGTGGTTCTGGAATCAATCAGTTTGATGCAAATGCCATCGGAAGTCTCTCACAACATGTGAAGCCACTCACAGATTTTCTGGAGAAGCTTGCGGATGGAGAAAAGGTTAGTTTTTGATTATGAGAGACTTTCTTTCCTATTGCTATTGCTTTGATAAACAGAGATCTTACAATGGCCGCCTAGCTTGGTTTTCAGCAACGGTTGCTTGTTGAAATTCTATAATTGAAAAGTAAAAGGGGTTCTAATTGATAGATTAAAATTCCAGTGGCATTTGGGCATTTGGGCATTTGGCAATAGAAAAGTTCACAATAGAAGATTGGTTTTATGTTCTAAATTGTTATAAACACATGATATATAATCCAGTAATCGTTTTGGTCCACAGTATGTATTCTGTTCTGTTGTCTTATAACCCAAATGAGTTGAATGCAACTGCTGTTCCATGGTACTTGATGCACTTCCGATCATGTCGATGGTTAAACAAGTAACTTTCTTTAGATCTAAATTCCAGTTCCATCTTTCTTTAATAGAAATTCTTCAGTGGCTAAGGAAGATTAGTTGGTTTCACTACTCTGAGACTTCAATCACTTCAGCTTTTAAGCAAAATTTATTCGCAACCAATACAACTTTGTATTTCCCACTACAAATCACACACCTTTCTTGATTTTGTAGGTGATTTTGGCTGGCCATGACTTTGGTGGTGCGTGTATATCATACGCAATGGAGCTATACCCATCTAAAGTTGCAAAAGCTATCTTCATTGCTGCTTCGATGCTGAAAACTGGTCAAAGCACTCTTGATATGTTCTCCCACAAGGTTTGCCCAATAAAATCTCAAAAAATTTCCTTACAAAAGGGGTTTAAGATATGGTTCAAATTTAAATGGTTAGAACTTAATTAAGGGCTGTTTACTAGCTGCTTATTGTTTCCTACCGGGTAAGAGGCTCTTACCTGGTCATAATGTTGTTTACCAGACCCCTATTAGCAATCAATGATGTTGATGGAGATGTGGTAAGCTAAAGGAGGGATTCTTACTCGGTCAGTGATTAGTGTTGACCCAGACCGCACTTTTACGTGGTCAATACTTACCCAGTTTGTGTCAGTAAACGACTCCTAAATCTAATTCCGTCATATTCGAGCTTTTTCATACACACTGTACTTGAGCTTGCAAACCCTCTATTAGCATTTTACAAGAAGTTCATATGAAGGCAATAAGGGGATAACTTGAAATCATAACCCAGCCTCAAACTTCAAATTTTGAAGTTTATCAAATACAAATGGAGCTCTAAATGGTTTATAACACTATTTCAGGAAAATACAAATGATTTGATGAGGCAAGCTCAGAAGTTTTTGTACGCGAATGGGAACAATCAACCTCCAACTGCTATCGATCTTGACAAATCGCTTCTGAAGGACCTTTTATTCAATCAGAGTCCTGCTAAGGTATGATTGACCTTTTTATTGAATCATAGCCATGCCAAGGTATAAACCCCAAAGACAACCCAGTGACTATAGACCAAACCAGAATGAACCCAGTTTATCCCGCTTGAAAGTAGTGTCTAGGGGCGAGATGTACAACAACTTGTCCTCTACTCCAAATGGTGGAGTGGCTGTTTCCATGTGGATCCCTTGTAGAGCAAAAGTGTGAGGGAAAAGGGAAAATGAACCAAAACTAGAAAGAAGTAAGCGACAGAAAAAAAACGAAACAAGCACAATGAAGCGTAGAATAAGTAAGGAAAATCACTTGTCCTACAACAAACCCAATATATCTCACTCGAAACCCAGTATATCTCACTCGAAAGTAGTGTTTTGGGGGGAAGATATACACAAACTTGTCCTCTACTCTAAGTGGTAGAACGACCGTATCCGTGAAGACGGAGGCTTGTGCAAAAGCGTAAACCAAAAGGAAAGAACCAAGGCTAGTAAAAAGTAAGCAACAGAAAAGGAAAAAAGGAAAATAAACGATAATATATATATATATATATATATAGTGTTACCAGGGTCCTTTGGGTAAACGAATCAAATAAGTTTCCAATTAGGGGCACGACCTTCTTCCTTCTAAATTATTTTTAGCTCAATAACCTTCATCTGACATGTCCCTGCTTAAACTGCTCGTTTGCTCCTGGTAAAATTGAAAACACACTAGAGGGTCATTTTGCAAAACGAGCTTCTGAAGAAGGTCATTGAGCTAAATAGCCCGCTAACAAGTGACAAGTTCATCAAATATGTCGTCTCCTTGACTTATTGGTCACTGATACGGTAATGTCGTGCTCATTTCTATGTGTAGGATGTGGCTTTAGCATCGGTCTCGATGAGGCCAATTCCCTTTCCACCTGTTCTCGAGAAGCTCTCACTTTCCGACTCGAACTACGGTTCCGTCAGACGGTTCTACATAGAAACCCCCGAAGACAATGCCATACCCATCACTCTCCAACAGAGATTGATCAACGAAAACCCACCTGAAAAGGTCTTCCGTCTCAAAGGTGCCGATCACTGCCCATTTTTCTCCAAGCCTCAAGCCCTACATAAACTGCTGGTCGAGATCGCCAAAATCAAATAAAACCGAATGACGTTTTCGTGATCGTTTATACCTCCACAACCAACATCATCCGGCAAAACGACAAATGTTCGTCTCGACTCCATGTGCCGATCGTTGCCGGTATCGACAAGTTGTTGGTTAATACTCATTGACTACATTTTTAGTCATGGGGTGTAAAAATTTGGTAACCAAATCTTTATTGTGGTTTAGAATGTTGATGTAAATGATAACTCTAAATACTTGGTTTGGAGCATGAGTTGGTCCCTAAAAAGACCAATTAAAATGGACCATCCAAATCTTGATTTCAGTGTTTCGTTTTTTTTAAATAGAGAATTAAAAGTCGAATGTTTTATAAAAAAAATCATATTTAGCTATCAGATTTTTTATTTTAGATATTTCAGTATTAATTATATCATTTGAATCGTTACGGCTATTTGGCTCTTCAAATTGAAATGTTTATTTTAGAAACAAGTGAATTGTGGATTTCGTCTATGTGGTTTGATGTTTTTTTGTTAGGGTCCCCATGATATATTTATTGTAGATTTGGTCTTTCTGGTACTCAATTTGTTTTTGGCCATGGTTCTTCTGACTAACCTCTTCGTTAACTACATTAAATCAAGAATCATTTTAGCCTTTTGCCTATTCTTTTATCTTGTTTTTATAAAAAAGTAAAAACAATATTATTATACACACAATCATATATATATATATAGAGAGAGAGAGAGATATATCTCAAAATAATAGAAGAATAGGCAAAAGGCTAAATTAAAATGTAATTAAAATTTTAATTTAAACAAATCAAATTATAAAACCATATGATTTGATTTGTTTGAAATTAAAAAATATAGTTATGTTAAAGATGATTTAATTTTATTGTAGGGTTTCTCCGTTTAGTGGCATGCAGAGGCCTATCTATACTATATTATAAAATATTTGATAAAAACTTTTATAAATCATTTTTATGCATTAAGTACTGTTTATTGGTACAAATTACTTAAAATTCAAGATTACAAGTACATTATGCGTGTATACAACGTATTAAAGCCCTATGTTTGAATTCGTGTAACTAGTTGCAGATAAACATAACCAAATATTTGATAAATATCTCATTTTAAATATAAAAAATCTAAAATATATTTAGGATAATCGTTTGATTCTAAGTAAATACCAATTATTATATTTATAAAAAAACTATATTATTAAACTAAAATAAATGACTTTATTGTTATATCTAAATTAAATTATAGTAAAAAAATTGAATTAAATAAATTACACAGAAATACAACTACTTTTATATATTTAACTTGATAATAAAATCGATATATTTTTTTTTCATAATTTTATGATACCTTCAAATTTATATTTTATTCAAAAAATAAAAACATTATGGTTTTTTCAGTACCACATAAAATCGTATTATAACATCAATGGAGACAGAATAAAACGAAACTTTAAAATCGAGATGTATCTCGTTGCATTGTACGAGTACCCTTCTAATTATACGCTATTCAAATTCTACTGATTCATCCGTCATTACTTCATCAAGACCATGAATACGAGCAATGCCATTACCTACTTAAAGTACGATATCGGTATTCACAATCTTTACTTCTCTATCAAATCGCTCGTTATGTTCACATATAATATTAGTAATTTCATTTACAAACCAATTAATTGAGATAATTATGGAAATGATAAAGATTCATTTAATAGATTTGAATATTATGGAAGATTCTCAGAGTTCATTTATTATTATCAACAGTTTATATTAAAAAAATTCAAATATTCATTAAATTAAATGAACGATTGAGATTGATTTATATAATTTGTACCCATCAGAATGTTTGTCAAAATATTCCATTCTATTAACACAAAAGATATAATATGTAAGTGGTTGTTTGTTTACCTTTTAATAGTTCAATTAAAAGGCAACATCTGAATCGTTAAAAGGTAAATCTTGTTTGGAATTTTTTTTTGTCTCTTAATGATTATAAAACCCTCTGAATGATTGTGTATCATGGATATCCCTTAACCATTAAGAGCCTTAATTTCATTGTACACAATTACCAAACAATTATATTTCATTTCGCAATATATCATATGAGTCTCTTAATCATTATGACTACTTAATCATTCAACACCAAATCATTCTGCCAAAAAAATCCAATTGTATTAAAAAGCTTTTATCAACGGATGCTTAAAAAATGGATTATATCATACCCGTACCCGTTTAACACACCGGACTATCCACGGGTATTTTTAATTTACCGTATTTACCTGCAATCATCTAGGGTTTACGCTTTGTTTGCCCGATAGTTGTCTGACTGGCCGAGAAGACATCGCGCGAGTTTCCGTTGCAGAGAGTGGTTTCAACCGCCATCGCCACAATGACGACGGTCGTGCCTACATCGGAGGAGGATCCTGTCCTGTCTGTCGTTCGTTTCACCGCCGAGATGTCCTGGGCTGAAGCCGGTCCTGAGGTATCCCTAACATCTTCATTCTACCATGTTTTTCAATCGATTTGAGTTTCTTTCATATGGATTAGCTGTTTTCTGATGGATATGAAACAGTATTGAAAATTGTAGGATGTTTGGACTGTTTGTTGTTGAGTTTGTGGTCACTCTTTCAATTAATTTGTGTTGCAATTTGTGGAATTTGGTGTAGGTAGCTGAACCACAAGTGACTAGTTTATGCTTGGAGGCTCAGGAATTCATGATTGCGGGAAGATGGTTGGATTTGGCTTCGCTGATGATTACTTCGGCTGATTTGGTATTTTCTAAAGCTTCGGAGAAAGGTTAGGTTCACTCTGATGATTCGTATTTCTTGCTTTTATTGGTTGGATTTTGCTGTGTTTGTAACTAAGACAGAACGTTGCTCCTGCACATTACATGAAATTTGCGTTATACCACGTGGATAGTTGTTTTTTTTTACTACTAGTATGATGCTACGTTATAATCTGAACAGATTTTGTGTTGTTTTCATATCAATTCACATCCTGCCACTAATCTCAGATTTTATATCAGATAACCAATACATACTTTGCACTTAACATGAATACGAAACAAAGAAGATATTAGTGTTAGTAACAGATCATCGTGAAATGCTGTACGGGATATAATCCATCAATTGAATCTTGGTGCTTATTTGATTGTGGTTTTTGGTGGTGCTTTAGTATTAAGACTGGAATATGTCAAACACTTCTAGTGTCTAGCAACAAATTCTCAATGATATACATATGTGTGTGTGTGTGTGTATATCCATGTTATGCTCTGTTCAGGAAAAAGCATGCAGGTTCTCTTATATCAAACACACTCATTCACGCCGAAAGGTATTGACAAAGGTTTTGATGGTGTTCTCATCTGTCAAAAATCTTTCATCTTTTTTGCTTTAGATGTTCTGGCGTGGTTACAAAGTGTTGGTTTCCCATGTTTTCCAGCCATCATGACACGGCTGCTAGAACCTATATCACTCCTTCACCATTATTTGCATCACTTCCATCAACAAATTATAAAGGAAAAACATCGCTGCCAATCTCATTGCTAAGATGTATTTCAATCTGGTGTTTTTGCGTATATTTGTTTGTTTTCTAGATAGTTAAATCAGGGTGTGATTAATGTCTCCCTGACATACTGCTGCAAGAGATTCATATTGCTCCTTTATTGCTCTCTTTTCTCTTCTATTTCTATACTAACAAAATTTTCTTTGGCATTCGTTTGTCCCTAACTTAGATCTCGAGTGCATCTTTACCATTATCTGCAATCTTGTCAAGAAGCCCGAAAGCCTTGATGAGTTGTTAGAGATGGCAAAGCTTTTATCCACAAAAATTGCACAACAACCAAATGATAAGCCTGCACTGCGATTGAAGATGTAAGCTCAGATTGTTATCATAATCAATAGTATTTGTAACATCGTCTCATGTCTATCTTTTCCTCTCTTCAGCTTGTTCAATCTTTACAACCTGTTGGAGAACCCTTACAGCCGGTTTTACGTTTACATGAAGGCCCTTAAATTGGCAATGGATGGAAAGGTCATAGAACATATCATACCGTCTTTCAAAAAGATAGACAGTTTCTTGAAAGAATGGGATCTAGGAGTGCAGGATCAAAGAGAGCTTTTCCTGGCCATCTCTACTATTTTGAAGGAATATAAGAGGTACCATGAAGATACATATAACTTTTTATAGAGCGGTTTCTAAATTCATCTCTTTGAGTTTTTCATTAGTTTTTGAATTCATTCGCTAAATTATACATTATCTTCTCTTTGCTGACTCAATGGAATTTCAGCTCCCCTAAGGAAACCTTTAAGTTTTTAACGAAGTATTTGGCAACATTTTCTGGTGAGGAAGCACATACCATGGAGGAGGCAAAGGAAGAAGCCTTTCACACTATTATTGAGTTTGTCAAAGCAACTGACATATTTCAGGTAACATAACATCTAAATGAACTTTAACATGAAGTTGTGATACAATCTTTTAGGATTTTGTTTTAGCACTTCCCTTGTGCACCGTGTAACTTTTTAAACCAATTTATAGGTTGGGGGCCAATTAAGTACTTTTTTTAAAACCTTGCCCATGACTTCACAATCAACCCTATAAGGGGCACAATAACTGCCAACTATATCAAAGAAAAAGAACTGAATAGTTCAAATAGCTGCATCTATCCAAATCAGGGAAACCCTTATAGATGGCCGTCACACTCACGCCTCACCATCTAATAGTAACTGCAAGCTTCCAACTTGGTACAACCTGATCCTGAAATTCATCAATTGCAGATTCCTTGTATGTTCGATATTTTGGTTGGTGTAGTCTCTCTCCTTCATAGGCTATGTTTGCAAACTAGCTGATAAGCTAGCTTTAGTTGAAAAGATAGCCGTCAATGTAAAAATCAGTAAACGACGTGTTGAAAAATTGATTGGAAAAATACAAGGGGCATAATTGGAATAAAAGAGGAAAAAACCCCTGGAGCATATTGAAACACTGCTTGAAGTAGTGTTTCAAAAAGCTAGCTTATGGTAATTGGTAACCAAACGAGACTTCTTCAATAAGCTCAAAAAAACTGAGCTAGGGCATGGTTGCCAAACATGGTCATATACAGGTTAGTGCCTAAATGACCCCAGCACTTATGTCTTCTCTTATGCCAGTGTCAGTCCGCATTATTCATCACTAATTTATTTCTAGATTATCAGGACATTATGCAATCAAGTTTAGTGGTTGGTGGTTGCATCTGCTTATCTGGCTTAACCCAATTCTTCCTAGACTACATCCGGACTCGCCCTTACCAGCACATTCCACAGCTCAATAACAAATGGTCTCCCATGACACCCAATGATGTCTTTCTTCTCCATTAGAGCTCCAAAAAAATCACCTGCTTGTTTACAGACTGAACTGATCTATAAAAAAAAAGATTAGGTTGTGGCTTAAGGCATTGGTTTGCTAAATCGACATACAAGAAGCCTTGCCTTATATGATAGTTGTGGCCATGGCCCGAAGGAGCCTTAAGCACTTGTACAATGCTTCAAGTCAAGGCTCAAATATGAACATCCATCGACCGTTACCACTTCTTCTAGAGAGCCCAGTACATAGTCTAATGTGTTTTTATTTCATGCAAACTATTTATGGAGAATTCTGGTTTAATCATCAAACTTGGTGGCGTCTAAATGATAGTGGTTTGGGGATTTGGAGACATTGTAATTGATATTGTGGTGTTGATAGTGACAGAATTATGTTAATTCTTTTTTGAGTTGATGGTCCTCTGTTTACGGGTTCTTTTCAAATCCCATTCTGAAATTGATCGTCTTCCTGTTTAATAACCTGGCAGCATGATTTGCTCGATATGCCTGCTGTAACACAATTGGAGAAAGACACCAAGTATGCATTAGCATATCAGCTTCTGAAGATATTTCTGACCCAGAGGCTAGATGCTTACATGGATTTCCATACTGCAAATTCTGCATTATTGAAAAGCTATGGTGATTACCATTTATCACATTGAATCTTTTTGGTTCAATTTATACACAGAAATTTATGGTGGTATTCTCTTTGCAATGTGATGTAGGTCTTGTACATGAAGACTGTATAGCAAAGATGAGGTTGATGTCAATGATGGATCTTGCCTCAGATGAATCTGGCCAAATTCCCTATCGTTTAATTAAGGACACACTTCAGGTAAATAGGATTTGCTCATCTCTTATTCCCTACCCCAATCCAGGTAGGTGGTCCCCATCTTGTTTGTGTAACCGTGAAATGCAGTGGGATATAGAATTTTATCGTAATTCGAAAATGGAAAATTAATCCAATTCCTAATAAAAAGGGCAAAATGCAACGAAGTTTGTCTTGGTTACTGTGTAGTTTAACAAAGAACTTTTTTCTTAATAAATGTAAAAGAAGTTTCAAAATTATCTATTTAAGGTAACAAAATTTCAAAATTTCTTATTTTTACCCTGATCTTATAACATTTGATGGTGTGGATGCCAAACTTATGATCCACTTTGTCGTAACCCTTGTGTGAACCTTTTTAAACGGGTGTCCACGTAATCAAATGTTACGAGAGCAAAAGGTTACCTGTCAAAAGGGGTGCAGAAGAGTAAATTTTCAAATTTTATTACATTGGATGGGAAAAAAATTCTTAGTTTTACTAAATAGGAACTAAACCAAACTTTGTTGCATTTTGCCCGATAAGAAAAACAGTGTTTAAACAAAATGGAAATTAAAATCATATGTAACATATACATGACTACGTAAATGGCTAGATATGCTAAATTGTTTGATTTTTTTGGAAAAAATCAATGGTGAGACGGGGTTTTCAAAATGCAAACACCTTTCTTATGTCAACTGGTGTCACCGCTTGAAAAAATTTCTGGATCCCTCCCTGTGTTGACAAATGAAATTCAAGAGTTTCATATAAATGCTTTATAAGATGGTATAGATTATCGTTAATCACATCATGGCTATGTTCCTTACAGATAGAGGATGACGAGGTGGAACCATGGGTAGTAAAGGCAATCACCGCTAAATTGATTGATTGCAAAATCGACCAAATGAATCAAGTCATTAGAGTGAGGTGCGTAGAAAACCTTATGTGGTTTCTAATTCTTCAATTACTATCTCTAATTGTTTGCTACTGATGCACTATTTTGCTAATCGTGTAGCCGCTACACCGAGCGTGTTTTTGGATTGCGCCAGTGGCAAGCTCTACGTGAGAAGCTGGCAACGTGGAGGGTAAACATTTTCTTGGTTCACTCAATCCTGTCTTTATTGCTTGTTATGGCACATATAAACACACACATTTATTGTTTCTCATTCCGGAGTTTGTTCCAAGCTCTTCTCTAACTCTCCATAACTTAATTTCTTGTTATTTATACATGCTTTCGGGTCGCTCAAGACTCCATAATATTTGCAAACCGTTTCTCGATTATGAAATTTTTGCGAGCACGGAAACAACCTCTTTGTTTCTTGGGTAGAGGAAATGTCATACATCTTACCCTCCCAAGACTCTACACAATATGGGATTTACGGTTCGTTTGGGTTTTTTTATGGCGTAGGCCGAATGCACATCTACTACTTGCACTATGCACACCTACAATCCTACATGTTAATTTTCTTCTCACATACATCAATATCCAGATTTATTTTACATTTTCAATGTATGATTGACCTAATTTTGATGTAAATAGTAGTTTTATTTCTTGGTTTGGTTCCATTTGTTTTAGAGTAAATTACAATTTTTGTTCTAGTGGTTTGTTAATAATGTCGATTTTCATCCTTGAGGTTTAGAAATTGCAATTTTCGTCTTTATGGTTTGCAAGTTATTGCTATTTTCGTCCTTGGGTTAATTCCTAGCTTAAAGTATAAGAGACCAAAACAGTGAAGACTTGTAAACTGAAGAGACCAAAACAACAATAAATTGTAAATCATAAGGACGAAAATAACAATTTCTAAACCATAGGGATGAAAATCGTAGTTCTTGACAAACCAAAGGGATGAAAATGTAATTTACTCTTTGTTTTTTTTACGTAGATGAAATATCTGCCTACGTCTAACCTTTTTCAGACTCGACTTTCTATGGGATTTACTGGTCGTTTGGTTTGTTTTTCTAGATTTTTTCACAAATGTCGACTCTAATTTCTTGCAGGGGAGCATAGCAAATGTAATAACGACCATTCAAGCGAACAAGGTGACCGAAGAAGGAACTCAGGCAATGCAAGGTTTGGTGATCCGTTGACAATTTTGGTCATTTTGCCAGCCAACCATCATCTGCAAACGATACAAAGTCTTGTTCTTATTGCGTTTAATCGAAGGGTTACGTCACACAATTTGAAAGTTTTGTCCGAAGCAAATCGTCACTTTTAAGGAGTCGTTTTTACTTTCAGTTTGAATTTGTACCGTTTGATGAGGAATTTAATTAGCAACAACCAGAGAAGATGTTCTACTTTGATTGTCATTCAAGTATGCACAGAAGCACCAAATAACCATTTTCCACCCATAAAAAACAAGCATGTAGTCATGCTTGATATGACAATTTGATAACTTTTAACGCAGTTTACCCAAACACTTACCTGATAAGAGTTCACTTTCGTAAACTTTACTGGATAAGATTCTAGTTTGTCAAAATGGCGTCGTATAAGGTCATTTAATATAAGAAACAAATACTAATTATATTCTTAACAAAATTATAATTGGTTTGTTGGTTAGTTCATTGTTTTTCATATATAAGATCACGTGTTCCAAGTCTTTTATTGCAATATTTTTTTTTCCAGAAACATAGTAAATCTGAAATTAAAGTTAAAAGCTAAGAAAATAACACTAACAAGATTCAAACTTGGGCATAAGGTGGAAAAAAGCTTTGCAAACAAACTCTACGAAGGAAAACTTGTGGTCTTACTGTAGTTTCAAAATACATACAGTGACACACAACAAATTGATACAGTGACACTTTTCACTATGACAGAAGAACGGAATGATGGCTCTTGCTTCTATCCAGTATACTGGGTTTGTCCCTGCATAATTGGTTTTCTATAAAAACCAATTTTATTATAATGAATAATTTTAGTAAAAGACACCTTTCTCTTTTATTCCATGGATTATAATTACCAACTTACTATTAATACATGGCCATGCCAATTAAGAAGCCCAAAGCTAAAGAAAATACAAGTTATAAACATAAGGGAATTGAAAGAAACACAAACTTAAGAACCATAATTCAATTACTTTCCATAAATGGAAAGAAGAGAACAATCCTTACATTCTAACGGGGTGGCAGGGGGCGGTGCTGAAAGCGAGAGCAGTGATAAGTGCAAATTTTGGCTCCTGGAGAGTTCGATATAGCTGATAAAGGATCTCTTACAGCTCCGTTAGAAATATGACGAGAAACTTCACCTAGAATCCGTCTATATTCTTCTATGCCCACTTGCAAGTGTTGATCATCATCATCATCGACATCTTCTAGAAATATAATGATATTTTTAACAAAATCATCATTAGTTTGTTGGTTGGTAAGGCCACGTGTTCAAGTCTTTTATTGCAATTTTTTTTTTCTAGAAACATAATAAATCTGAAATTAAAGTTAAAAGCTAAGAAAATGACACTAACAAGATTCAAACTCGGGACTGAGGTGGAAAAAATCCTTGCAAACAAACTCCATAAAGGAAAACTTGTGGTCTTATTGTATATCAAATATATACAGTGACACACAACAAATTGATACGATAACACTTTTCATGACCATATAATTTTTTT